GGGAAGTGACATATCATGCAGTATTACTGCAACATTGATCTTAGAGTTTTTCATTGCCCTTGGCAGAGGGAAAAACACATGGAATTGAGAATGAAGATTAGCTTTGCTATTTGGAGGGTATCACAACAATTTAGGGCCTTGGTTTTCCATTTTATAAAATGAGGCTGTCAGACTCTGTCTCAAAGTCTTCAGTTTCTAACTTTGGTGAATGCAAAGCTGAGAAAATGGAAAATGGCTGGTGAACATGAGATCTTGATCCAGTCAAAGTCGGAGGCTAGTAGTGAAGCCATCTACTCCACATCTGAGGAAGCTGAATTCTCAAATTTTATTAAAACTGAGATGATGTTTTTGGAGAAAGCATAAAAAATGTAATCTCTGTGTAGATGGGAACTGTGAGTTAACCTAACTCTGGAGAGAGGTCCAGATGGAGTCCCCTTGTGGAAGCTGTATTTCTCTGTGTAATAGGTGCTTTCCTGCTGTGAGTGGCCAACTGACATTTATGTGCCTCTAAAGGCCATTGCCTGATGGAGTTTCCTTTCACTCTATCCTAATAGTCATCACTTAGAAAGTGCCAGTAGTTTTACCTGATTTATTTCAAATGATTAAATATCATTTGTATAGCATCAATAAAAAATTTAAACAAACTCTCTAATATAATACAAAAACCAAAAAAAAAAAAAAATCCACACTCCTTGAAGGTTAAGGGGTTGAGAGCAGTAGAAAGTGGGATATTTTTGTATATGAAAATCAATTGGCATTTTTCCCCCCACAAGAAGCAACTCTGGTGGTATAGCTCAGGCCAATCCACAGAAAGATGGCTGCAAAGAGGGGGAGTTGTGAGGGCTGATTAATGGCTCTTAGGACATCTCATTTAGGGAGACTGAGCCATGCATCTGGTGAAATTTATCTTGTATCTTATTAGCTTAACTTTGTGAGAGACCTTATATATCACATAACCATACTACGGAGGTTGATATGCAATTTAGTAGTCATTTTTTTAAATTTCATGAAAGTAGATTGATTTTCAGCTTGAAATAATTTCTGACATTTTATAAATTCATCAAATGCCAGCATGAGGGAGTATGTACCATTTCCTGTTTGCTGAATGGCTTTTGGCTCTCTGCTGTGTATCTCGGGGTTAAACCTGAGATTGTCTCTGCAGGAAATATCATGAAGCCCAGTATGTGGGTGCCCACAAGAGAGCCCCTTGCCTCCCTAGATTAGACCGTGCTTAGCAGTTACTGCTGGGCTGGGTCATGGGAGCTCTTAGTGGGTGCAGCTTCCCAGGACTGCAGGCAACCAGTTAAGCACCTATATGAACAGGATGCCTTACCATGATGACTGGTGGCACTAAAAAGATATATGATGCCTAGAGGACACAAGCATGCCCAAATATTAAATGTGTTTAGGGTACATATGTTCTATATGTAAGCTTAAACAATCAATTGCCGAAATTGATGAAAATGCCCTAAATCCTTGGAGATCCACTAGCAGGGAAACTATTTCTCTTTGGTATTAGTCTGGGCTTGTATATTGCTGATGGTAGAGTCCCCAGTAGATTCTACAAGTTTGTCTACAAATGCAACTACCTTTTTGAAAGTTACCTTGTGTTAAATTTTCATTACATAAATGACGGACAGTGGATGCCAATCCTCAAATAAATCCTGTCTTCACTGGCAAAGAACAGGGCTTCAGTCTCATTTTCCCAAGCAATTGTTCATACTAGCTGCATCCAAAAGTGAAGATATGAGGAAACAGGGTATGGTCAGCCATCATTTCTTGTTTAGTTACTTTGGGTTTTCTGAGTCAATAAAGTCAGCCTGCCTATTGGTTCACTTGGATTTCCAAATTGCTCTTCCTCCTTTGGCTTTTGCTCCTACAATGGGCTCATTCCTGAACTCTGAGTGTCTGGTGGGGGCTGGCTGTGACAACTGGGTCCTCCTCTCCTCTCAGTTGACAGTGGGTCTAGAACATCTGAAATTTTTTTTATTACATTTTTTGTCCTCATGATTCATAGATGACACTTTCTTAACCTTTTGACAGCCCTGGTTATTTTTACCAGGAGTGCCTGCTAATCCTGTGAGTTAGTTGTTTGACTCATTCTTAAGGAACAGAAATGGAAGAACTAGTTTCCTCGACACTGTGCTAAGCACAGGTGATAGTAGAGATCAGGTTATCATGGTTCCTGGTAAATTATTTTAATTCTTTTTCTGTCTCTGAGGAATTGTTTTTGTTAAACCTTTGCAGTTACTGTTGGGAAACAGAGTGACTCATTTTGAGAACTAAGAGATTTTTACCAGGCTGGATACCATAAAAATGTTATAGCAATCTGGCCTCAAGCCCAAGCTCCTTAGGAGCTCCTGCCAATCTCACAAGTCCTTTGAGCCCATGGAGGATCACCAACCACTGGACTTGGGCACAGAGATAATCTGCAGTGGTTCAGCTGTGCTTTGCAACAACCCACCCAGGGAGGAGACAGTTGCTGTGGCGAGGAGACATGGGCCATACCCTCAGGGATCGGTTTGGAGCTCGAGGAAACCAGGCATCACAGGTATGGGGCAGTGAGTTA